GAGCCCGTCGCTGCGGATCGCGCACTGGCCGTAGTCGCGCTTCGTGAGGCCCTCCTCGCGCGGCATGATGTCCTGCGGCAGAGCACATGTCAGCGTCGCCCCCAGCGCGCAGCGCGTCGCGCGAACCATAGCCACGCACATGTTCGAAGATCCCGAGCGGCAGCGCGAGCGTGACACACGCGTTCGGCGAGTCCTGCAGGGGGCGCGTCAGCCGCCGTGTGCAAGCGGAGAGATGCGCATGGGGAGGGGGGACTCACGACGATGGCGCCGACGTGGCTCTCGACGGGCGCCGCGGACAAGAGCAGGTCTGTAGCATGTCAACGGTCAGTCTCGGTCTCTGGCCGCGCCTCCGCGCAGTGTACACACGCACATGCTTGTTCACGGGCTGTGTGTGGGGAGGGACGGAAGGAGGGGGCAGACGCGTCAGCACGGACGCACGCACGCCAGAGTGCGGATCTGTATACGCACTATATCCAAGCTGCGAACACGGACCCGTCAGCCCGCACGCGCACCGCCCGACACGCACACACGCACCTTCATCAGATAAGTGATTGCGTTCAACGCCGCCTGCTTGTACGCGACGGTCCTGCGCATACACAGTCAGCCACAGCGCGCGCGGACGAAGACTCGCGCGACGTACGCATCCATGTCGTACTGCTTGCCGTCTCCGTCTGCACACGATGGTCAGTACACACGTACGCGTCGCGGCGGACGACACAGCCCACTCACGGTAGTCCACGCTGATCCCCTCGAACGTCAGCTGTGAGGCGCCCCACCGACCATCAGCGACGCCTACACCCCAACGCTGAGCGGCGCACGCACCTTTGCAGAGTACAATGGATCCACAGGCGAGGGCTGCAGAAGCACAGTCAGCAGCGGCTGCGCTATGGGGCACACCGGGGGCATACCAGGAAGATCGGCTGCTTGAGCGCAAACTTCTCCACACCGCCCTTGATGATGCTTGTGCTAAATGTGATGATGCCCGCCTGTACCAGCGCGCAGTCAGCGTGCATGCCCTACTCTGCGCGACGCATGCGTGCGCACCATCTCGATCGCGCCGCAGAACGACATCTACATTGAGGGGGAGTGAGCGAGTGAGGCGAGTCAGTAAGAAAGCGGTGCGTACTTCTCCCTGTGGCAGACAGCATAACGTCAGCGAGGCTCTGGGCGGAGGACACGGCGCGACTCACATCGCCCTGGGAGAAGTGCAGGTCGCCCACAGAGAGGTTCGCGCCCTTGACGAACACGGGGAAGTAGCATCGCGAGCCCCTGGGACGCGCACATCAGCAGCCCGCCTAGCCCACGCGCCGGCCCCACACTTACTTGGACAAGTTCTTGATCTGCGCACGGGGGCCCGGTCGGTCAGAAGCCAGCGCGAGGCGAGCACGGCGCAGGACGACTCACATCGCAGTTCCCTCCGTGCTCGCGGCCGGGCACGGTGCGCGCGCCCTCTGCGTACACCTTTGCGCGCACGTCGTCCGGCAACTCCTGCCCGACGTACGCGCCCACGGATTGCGGGAGGTACGCGACGGGCGGGACCGCGTTTGGGTGCGCGGCAACGAGCGCGCCCTCGCGCTCGTTCCACGTTGCGAGCAGTTCGGGCGACGGCGCGGTGCCGATCAGCCCGGGATGCGACACACCCGCGAAGCGCACACCGGGGATGTGTCGCGAGGACGCGTACACGCCTGTGGGAATGCGTAAAAGCGTCAGCTCAGAAGGATGTGCGGCCGCAGCCAGGGGGCACGCGCACCGTGGAAGTCCCAAATGGCCTTGGCCGCCTTGCTCTTGAACTCGCGCGCTGTGTGGGTGTCAGCGGGCCGACGTGTGGAGTGGGTAGGAAGGGCGCACCAAAGAGCCCGCCGCCGTTTTCGAGCTCGAAGATTCCCTGTGGCAGCATGGGCGTGTCAGACGCAGAGGCGGTGTGCGATGAGGACAGGACGGACCGTGTATCCCCATGGCATCTTCTCAAAGGGCGTCACTGCGCGCGCACGTCTGGTCAGTCCGGAGATGAGGGGAAGGGAGTATGAGCGCACCATCGAGAATGTCGACGACAAGGCAGTCACCCGGCTCTGCGCCTTCGACAGCAATGGGCCCGGAGAGGTTATGGATCCGGGTGAGGTCGACATTCTTGATGTCATCGCTGCCTGCCCGCGGTAATTAGCATCAAGCGCGGCGGCACGAGGACAGACAGAACTCACAATCATTGTTGCCGATCTGGGCGCCCGTCCAGTCTACGAGTGCATGCGACAGTTAGGGAGCGAGCGAGCGATGCGGACAAGCCGCGGGCTTACCGACACACTCGACTTTGAAAACCTGTTACGTGGAAAGGCAAACATCAGTTTGTGCGCAGGCGAAGCAGAAAAGTTCAGCGAACGCACCTCGCCAGGCTTGACGGTCGCGAAGGCAGGGATGTCAGGGCTGCGGGATCACGTTGGTTAGCAGCTGCGGCCGCTGGAAGGGTAAGGATACGTACTGCCAGCGGTTGTGAACACCCTGGAGGCGCGAGTGAGATGCATGCGGAAGAGTAGACAGGGTGTATGCGCACCTTCTGCTCGTGAGCGGGGCTGCGCGTGCGTCAGATCTATCAGCTCCCGTAAGATGCGCGGCACGGGGTCAATACTCACATGAAGGGATCAAGCTATTCATGGCAAACGCGGAGGAGAATGAGATTCGGACGGGGGAAAGTGAGCGACTTGTTGCCGTACCTGGATGATGGTAGGGTGAGGGACCGAGTTGGCTGCGGTTGCCATTTGCGTGGTATGTTTGGAATAAGGTTTTGGCGATAGTGGATGTAGATCGAGGTCAATCGCGGGCACGTTGAGCGCGTCGGGGGTAGGGAAGCAACGTCGAGGAGCAGTGGGAGAGCTCGGCCGGAGGCTTTATGTGGGGGGCCATGGCGATAAGGATGCGGAAGGGCGGCGGCCCGTACGATGCGGGGGTGCATATAGGTATAAGCTGTGGGCGATAAGAGAGTAAGCAGGAGGACGCCGAGATGGAGGGTGCTCACATGGCCCTCGCACGCTATCGCGGCGGCGCAGGCGCATCGCAGAACTTGGCCGTGCTGGGAGAGGGAGTGAGACATGGAGAAAGGGGCACTGGCGTTGAAACCTGCGTCGGGATCTGCTGCAAAAATGTTTTCGTGTTCGCTGATAAGTGCTGTCCTTTTCGAGGATGGCAGGATCGATGGCAGCTAGGGGGAGATGGGAGTGAAAATTTGTAGAGACAGAACGAATTGAGCGTACGTTCTGCTCGCCTGACCTTGCAGGACAATTGGAGCTGTAGCTGCGAGGAGAGACGATGGCAGCCACTCGTGTCGCAAGCGCGCAGAGTTGCCTAAACAGGCCGCCGCCATTCAAGTGAGCATGCACAGCCAGCAACTCCAAGACGACCTGCGACTGGCCCACAGGACATGGGCAGGTGTGGAGATGGCTGGTCGGCGGTCTGCTCTGCCTCTGAGACTGGCCGCCAGCGACATCGACAGGCATTCGATCCGCGTCTCCCTGATGACGGCGAACCACTACGCAGACCACTCGAGGTCTGCTTACAGAGAGGTGGTGCATCGTCCCAATAGAAAGCCTGCCTATGCCCGCACCTAACAGCCATTCAGCATAGATGAATGACCACGCGCCTCGCCAAGTCACCACTAGACCAAGAGCATCCCGGCCTCAGACTGCCAGCGAGACGCGAACCATCCCAGAAGTTCTGCCACCGTGTGGTCCGGCGTTCGATGAATGAACGCAGAAGCACGGTATCAGGTCTGCCAGAAAAGCCTCGGACACAGCGAGCAATTGAGCGACCCCAGTCTACATTTGAGCGGCAGATCCCCGTCCGACGGGAGTCTTTATGACAGTAGGTACACGCTGGCAACAAGCAGAACCGAGATGCCTTCCCTGCCACTTCAACACCAAATGCAATCCTGGCACTTGCATGTGTGCTGGCGCGGTTCGTCATCGTCAAGTTCAAGACCGCTTTGCCTCGGCCATGAATTCTCCCGCCGCGCGCGACTTGACATCGTCATGAGGAGTGCAAGCAAAAAAAAAAAAAAA